GTCCTGCTATCAAAGACAACTATATCACATAAACCACCATAAATTAATCAAGTTCCATCTTCAAATTAAAACTAAACATTAGTAACAAGGATTCTGAATCTTTACAAGGGCCTTAGAGTAAGGAGGCATAAGCTATACATACTGAGAGCCATCAGAGTGGGGTGAGATCTAACAAAATGGTTTTGATTCTATTTATTTGACCTTCACATTCATTTTAAAAATCACATGATTATTGATTCTTCATCCTCAGCTAAAAAGTACCATTGTAATTATGTAACTGCAGCAAATAGAAGGTCAATCTATTATTTATTGCATGCCAAGGGCCAGGAGTTATTTAGATGCACCATGTTAATATTTAAGATTAAAAGTAATCATGTTGCTGTAATGACATTGCTGTAGATATTTGTTGGAATGTGTGTAAATAAAACATTAGAAAGAGAAAGTAGGCCGGGGGCAATCAGACTACAAGGGAGCGAGGACAAAATCTTCCTTCAGTTGTTATTCACATTGGAGAATAAACTGCAGAATAATCCCACCTAAGGAACTAATCCAAACCCCACAAGAGTCTTTCTAGAAAATGCAGTGGGCTTTGGATCAGGTTTCAGCTGAGGAATTGGAAAACAATGGGCAGAACTTTCGTAAGTGTTTGGCATTTACAATCTGGACCAGGCTTTCAGGTACTCAGCTCCCATTTGGGCATCAAATTACATGGCAAGCTTTTCCAAAGAGACTGGCACATTAGGCTTCAACAGGACCTGTGGGGGACCAGGACTTCCTAGCGACCACATCTTCAAAAGAGTTCATGGTCACATTTTCAATTACTCAGCACTCAAACTTAGGGGCAGATTTTCAAAAGAGTTCTGCTCCCAGCCAGGCATTAAAGTAAGATGTTGGTATCCAAAAGCTCTCTTTGTGACCCTTATAATCAGAGTGCAGACAGAAATGCAACTACCCACTGTACTTGAGAACGCTTTGCAGGAAGTGTTCTGAGTTACAATGATCACTTGGAACAAACAGAAGTTCATGGTTGTTTCCAGGGAGGAAAGGAATTTAGTGGGGCTGTACAAAGCTTCAGTCACTCATTTTATTCGGAGGAGATTAGGCCTGAATCTCCGAATCCGAATCGAATCAGGAGACCCATTAATTTTTCCGAATCGAATCGGAAGCGTTTGAATCAATTTGGAGAGATTCAACAATTTGGCCATAGACACAGCTTTATATGTTTTTTCTACATACTTGAAGGTACCACGAATGCTGAGATGGTGGGGCAGATGGAGCATCCCATGGGAGTGTGGGGTGGGAGGGGGTGTCTGATTGCCCCTAGCTGACTTTTAGCAGGAATCACTGTCCCCCAAGTCAGACCAAATCCAAATCCGAATCAAATACTGCCTGCTTTGCACATCCCTAGAATCTAGCTGCTGTCTACAAGCCTGCAGCTGGTTTCTTTTAGCAATCACCCCTGCTCCCTGCTAAGCTGCAAAGTTTTCAGAATGGGAGGGGGGAAAGCGAGCTGAAGCAGCTGGTTCTAGGGATTCCCCAGCCAGCACTGGAGGGTGGGGTGAGTGTATTGGAGCCCCTTCGAGATGAGGGGCTCCAATTCACTCATCCCACCTTCCAGCGGGGGCTTAAAACCCCCCAGACTGAAATTGGCCCTTGCCAGCTGGGGAGTGGGGAGCACCAGCTGGTGCCTCCCCCCCCGCCCCGAGATGCCGGTGGCACTTCTGGTTTGCTGTCGGTGCTTCCAGGGATGGTGACTGGCCACTGGGGGACCTTCCTCCCTGTCGGCAATCAGCCTCTGGGGGACCCCCAGAGCCAGAAGGCACCAGTTGCCCATGCAGAAGATGCTGTTTTGAAACAACTGCATCTGTTGCATGCAATGAGGAGTCAGATTTTCATCAGATCAGCCATTTTTGAAGCTGTCTGGAGCCATGCACTTGTGTTTGGTTATGGCTATAAAATTTCTGTCACCAGATTGGGCACAAATTGTCTTCTGTTTATGCACAGAGTTTCAAAAGGCTTTGTACCCAAAATGTTCTGAGTCCTTTTTTCTGAAAACCACCTGCCTTTAGTGTGTTCCCAAGAGCTGAGTGCTTATGAAAAGGAGACCCCAACAATGGGTGCTGAGATCTTTGGAAGATCTGTCCTCAGAGCTGAAAAAACTAATCCCTGCTACCTGGGAGGTGAAACACCCTGTGCTTGTCTATTCCCCACTGTCAAAAACAGTCTATTGTCTCTTTTTCTCATGCTCTGAAATAATACAACCTGCTTTTTTTCTATGAACAAACAAACAATGCTCATAATTTTAAACTCATTAGTCATCAGCTTTTAAGGGAACTAAATCAATGCTCAGCAGCTGCTCTGGTATGCTGGAAAAATCCAAGAACAAGTCAAGAAGTTCAGATGAAACAACAGCTCTCCAAAGCTTGCCACCCCCACCATCTCCTCTAGATAGACAAAGGGGCTTTTTAATAGCTGTTGAAATGCTTGCATGTTTTTGACAACCAATGAAAAAAACATTTCTCTTTTTAAAGTTATGGTAACAATAATATTGTAAATCTCTTACCAGCCACCCAAATAATCACCACATTTGCCTTAATGGGACAAAAGTGAGTACTCAAATGAGACAATGAGGGCTCAAACAGAAGATAGGGCTATGTATCTGTATCCTGCCTTTTCTCTTTATTATTATGCATAGAGGCAGAAATTTTTATTGCATTCCCTTTAAATAGATGGGAATTTTCCTCCTTGCTGATTATTTTAGAATATCAACATTGGCTATCCTTGTTTTGTACTCTAACCCTTCCTTGAGAGTGTCAAAGGCAGCTGTCATAAGCCCTTACAGTCACCTTAAGTATAGGGACAAGAACAATTAGGCTTGGCAGAAATCAATTTTTATTTTTTAATAATTTTGGTGATATCAATTGACTTGATAATAATATTGGTGTCTATTTTTAAGTATTTATTTAGATTTGTATTAATTTAAATTTTCAGGATTGTGTGAAATTAGGAGTGTGGGGGGCAGGCAATTTATTAATGACAGTATACTATTATTATAGTGCACTTTAAACACCTATCACAACAAGCATAACTGTAGGACTGCTGGCAGCTGAGCAGCAGAGCTACCATCAGTCCCGGCTCTGCTCTCCCATAGCTCCCTCATCCACTTTGTCACTTCCTCTTCCTTTGTTCCCAGTCCCCTAGGGATTCTGGGAGGTGCAGTCCAAACAGCAGTCAGCATGGTTCTATAGGACTGCTCCCCCTTTTGTTACATACTCCATCAGCCATCATTTTTCTTACATTCCCTTTTTTATACATTTTGATTACTAATGATGGAAATATTTTTGCATTGGTCTGTGAGTGTGAGGTGAAACTGACATTTATCAATGTTTACTGATAAAAATCAAATCCTGCAAATCCTAAGAATAATGGATCATTAATAAAGGCTTCCTTTCTCTAACATATTCAATGCACCCAAATGTTAAATACAAATTAATAAAAACCATCAGCAGGGAGTTTTAAACCACAAAATTCACCGTTTCAGTCACTCAACTTTCACTCTTTTGGTTTGTGATGCCAACATTTCATTAGCTCTCCAGGCATCACAAAGACTTCCAGGCTATAAAGAACTTGAATTCATAATGTTAAAAAAAAAAAAAAAAAGCAGAAAATAAAATACCTTTTTAACTGAGGGGAAAAAACATCTTTCAGGCCTTCACTGTTACCCAGGAGGAAAGGCACAGCCCAATGTCGTTTTTATTTGCACATCGTGTTTGAAGACCCCAGGATACATATCTCAACAGCAGAGGTTCAAATGCAAATATGCTAAGGCTCAGCGGACGCATCTACACGTGCAAATAATGTAGGATCAGTTTACTCTAGAGTAGCAGCAGTCTGCTCTTGCTCCCTGTGGCCCTGCACTGGGCCCCTGCAGCAGCGAGGGGGAGCTCTAGGCTCCCCCTGGGTGCTAGCCCAGGAGCTGGCAGGGAGTATGGGGTCAGGAAAAAGCTGCCATTGTTCCCTGACCCCAGAAGCTGCCTGATGCTAGGGTGAGCTCTGCCACCAGAACCTGGGTGGGGCCCAGGCCCTGACAGCAGAGAGTGTCTAGGCCTGCTCTGCAATTGCAGGGCCGGGGATTGGAGATTTTTATCTCCTAGTCCAAGCTCCGTGGCTGTGGGTCTGGCTAGGAGCTGGGCTGGGATATTCTTAACTCTCAGCCTGAGCTCCACGACTGTAGGCCTGGACTCAGAGATAAGATTCTCTCAGTCCTTGTAGGGCCTGGAGATAAGAATCTCTTAGCCCCTGCTCCTTGATCAGGATCAGGAGGTGAGGGCTGGGAGCTCCCTGCTGCCATGGTAGGGGGACATTATCCCCACTTGACCTCCAGTGGCAGAAACTGCCCCAGCAGCAGGCAGTTCCTGGGGGCATGGAGCAATCTCCAGCTGACTGAGAGCAAAATCCTAGTCTAGCATCTACATGTGCCGTACTGTTCAGTAAGTAACTGAGAGCAAATTTGCTACTTGTATTTACAGGTAACAAACTTACTTGTGATTAAAGCAAATTACTGCACAGTAAGCATCTGCATGTGTAGATGGTGATGCTTACTGTGCAGTAATTAGCTCTAATCTTGAGTAAAGTGTCTTGTGTAGATGCGGGGTGTGCCCACTGAGAGTCGGGAAGCCTAACAACTAATTTATTCAGAGCCTGAGAGGTTCCCAAACAGGTTTCACATGCTGCTCATAACTCAGAACTTTTCTCTTGGAAACACCAGCTCTGTTTCTCCATGCCATGTGATATAGAGGGTCTGTTGGCCTTGTAGCTATCTGCCTGTCTAAGGCCACTGAGGATAAGATTCTTTTTTACAGACCACCTGTGACAACCACAGAAAAATCCTGGACTAGAACTATTGCCTCCTCAAGAATGGACTGTGCCAGCACATCCTGCAGCCTCTCTGCCCTAAATACAAATGAAGTCACAGATCTGCCTCTTTTTTGTTAACAAACCTGCTTAGCTTCAGGTGAGAGAAGTCCTAAGATGATGTCTGGTTTCAGGGTCACATTCTTCATCCCAACGAAGCTGAATTTTTCTAAATCTAGCTTTCGAAAGATCCTGGCAAGGTTACGTGCCCAGGCACCAGGTTTGATCAGCAACACTGTGCAGAGAAGCTGGGCTCCTGAAACAAAGGACAAATGTGAAAGCAAAGCTGCTGATAAGAAATAGATGTAAAGCACAGAACACTGGTATTAATTTTCACTAGTTTTAAATACAAGTTTAAATGTAAACTTTTTTGTTACCCAAGACAAGGAGATTTAATAGCTGGCATGCAGTCCACAGGAACTGTACTGACTGAACCAAACAAATACAGAATAAGAATGGTGATACAGTTTAACTTTTTAGTTTTAAATTGTATCTAGAGTAACCAGAAGCAGCAGGTTGAAATGGTTAGCTATTTGAAGATCAGTGGTGAGCTCTACCTACAGTTCCAAAGCTTTTATATGACAGGGTTGTAGACCTAAAATCAATCTGTATAAAATTTACCTTTGGGGTCCTGTTTTTGGATGCCTGGAACAGGATAAACTATTCCCTTTTTTCATGTGATATAAAAAGAGAACTAAATCAAAGGTACCATATGAAGTCAAGCTAGGCAGCAGGGGGCCACAGGGGGTAGGGACAGCTGTCCTGGCTTGGTGGGACACTGCCTCCTAGCCATGAGGAGACAGAGACCTGCCCTGACCTCCACTGGTAGGGATAGCTGTCCCAGCTGCTGAGCAGCTGCCTCCCAGCCATGTGGAGATTAGGATGGATCCCAATCTCCATGTGGTTGGGAGGCAACTGCCTGGCAGCTGGGACAGCTCTCCCCTACCTCATGGAAATCAGGACTAGCCACCATGCCCCCTGCCAACCCTGGTTGGCACCCAGAGAAGCCTGGATCTCCCCCTGGCTGTTGCAGGGGGCAGAGTGGGGCAGGAGTGGCCTGAGACTGAACTGCTCGAGTTGGAAGCAAATTTGCTCTCAACAGGCTCATGTTCAAATGCATGTGGGGGTGCAGTTTAATGTGTCTGAATTTTCTGCGCAGAAAGTTCAGGCATACTAACTGCATGTGTAGGTGCACCCACTGTCAAGTAGCTTAAGTTGTTAACTTCCTGTGAATAGCACTGTCTTTATTAAAACAGAAACTTTAAGGAAAACTTTGTAGTGTGTCTGAAACATAACCCTCCAGGGCTGGTAGCCAAAAATTCACAATCACCATGTAATAGAGAGTGCCAGAAAATGAAACTGACTAGAAATGGAATGTGACCAGACCTCACTGGTTGAAAAGTATAAGAAGGAAACACACAGCATAAATGTTAACACCTAAGAGACCTCATTCTGAAGTTCTACCAGTCAAGCTAACCTTAAATGCTATAATGTTGGATATATAGTTACATCACTTATCCTAATGATGCCCTTTGAATATTTGTTTTCTAACTCTGATGTTATAATCAGTAAACTAAGCCTGTCATTTACTGGCAGCAAACAGTACCAGTTAGCAAGAAGATGAGATAACCAGTACTGCAGATGGTTAGCGCTGTTCCCATTATTATCTGTTTGTGTATATAAAATGTCACTTTATGTTTCTTATGCATCATATTACTAATTATACAGCTGTCAGTGCAATGAAGCATCAACAATACTACATGTATTTTGTCTGCATATGCAGTAATTTTCAAACAGCAAGAGGCATGGTATTGATTCATAGTACAAAATGGGTTGGGACCAAATATAGAAGTAACAACATGTTCTTCATTCTATAGGAAAACCTAACCCATTTCCTATTGGGAGTTCTTACACTGCGGGATCTACTATTTTTTTTATAACATCCTTGAGCAGAAAGGTAAATTCCATAGCAACAGCTTGCTCTGCAGAGGCAAGCCTCCCTGTTCCCTTCAGCTACTGGTATATAGAATGGCAATTTAAATTACATACTGTTACATAAGTACTCATTGTCCTCAAAATGTTTTACTCACCATCTGCTACATTTCTGGGCAAACATTCCCATTCTTTCTGGTATGTGAATCACCACATCCTGCATATTCATATACTTTATTCGCATAATGTAGACATATTATCCTGGCCTGAAGATGTACAAATGCTCTTATCTTCAGGGTGGCCTTTAAAACATACATCTTCAGATCCTTCTCAGAGCTACATTTTCTACTAGATACATGGTTCTCAACATTTTTAGTCTCAAGGCACTCCTATCTAAACTCAAGGCACCCCTCAGAAAATGTTAGCTCTTAGTTTTCACTTGTTTTTTTTTTACTACAGGAAAACAAAAGAGCAATTCTTCTGTTGCAAACAACTCAGAAATCCCACAACAGGTCAGGATGCTTTTAAGACTATAAATTCCTATGTGAAATCTCTTGGGAATCATGTCTGCACACTTAATAGTGCTAACATTGTGTTGCACCCCTGAAAAGATCTCAAGGTACCCCAGGTTGAGAATGACTATACTAGATCCACACAGTGGACTGTCACTTATAGCAATAATCACTTCCCGTATTATGTGTTACCTTTATTATGCAGGCCTCTTTAATGTTTTCCAAGACTCCTGGTTACATTCTCCATTCACTTGTGACTGCTTTCTGAATTTTCCAGGTTTTGGTAAAACTTTTCTGGCCTTGGTAGCTTTTTTATGTTCTGTGGTTCCCTCAGCTCCCTTTCTGTTGGTCCAAGTTTACCAAAATGCCTCTAAGTGGTTTTACTTTCAAAGAAGTGACATGCTGGCTTCATGAGTACTGATAAAGCTGCAATGCATGTTTTTTTTTAATTTAGATGCGTGATTTAAAGTGAATACTCCCTCAAGAGAAAGAAATGTCAGGTTTCCTGAGATGTTTAGATAAGGAAGTATGTATCACTGTCAATGTTCAAACCCAGGGAACCGTTTGATACAATTCTAATTGTCTTCCTTTTGCTTGGTATCTTTAACTGCTCCATAAAACCAGAGTCAAATAAACACACACTTTTCTGCAGGAAGCTTTGCTGAATAACTGAGGGGGGAGAGGGGTGGGAGGGGAGGGGGAAGAGAGAAAGTTACTATATTGCCTCTCTTACCTGCTTGCATGTAGGTAAACACTGATTCTACACTGCTTCTTTGAGTTTCTCCCCCTAAAGAAGAAGAGATGAATAGATATTAATAGAAGGCAGCATTGCTTGGGGAATAATACTATCATCTCTGTTGTAAATGTAGCGTGTGATTATTACACAGTTGTTCATAAGGATTCACTGGTTTTCAGAATCCCACGTCTGGACATACATGGCCTTATTTTAGAAGTTCTGGGGTTTCAGAAATGGTGGGAGCATCCACAAATCTCAACCCAGCCCTGCAGGAGCTCACTTGTGAAAATCAGACCAAGCAGTATATACCAGTTATACAAGTGCTGAATTCCATAGATCTAATTCTCACTTACCTTGTTACTGTGTTCAGGGAAAGGAAGTTAGCCTTGGGAGGAACAGAGGTGGTTTAAACCACCTTTGTGATCCCCAATGTTGTGGCCAAACCAGAGTTTGCCTGACCATTTGCGTAAGGCAGAGCAGTCTCAACACTGATCTAACTTATACTCTGTTTCCCAGGCCCTTCTATGGGCTCTAAAAAATAGAGAAGAGGTAGTGAAGTATATTTTGGCCACACCCCTAATCTACCTCCTAAAACTATGAAGCAGAGCTAATTAACATGAGTGTAGCAGCATGCAAACACAGCCACACTACTGGTTCAGGAGGCAGTGGGTGCATCTACACACGGTATGGTGCTGTTGCTACAGCACTTTTGGAAGTACTAAAACATGGCGCAGTATGGGTGGTTACTGTGCAGTGCATGTGGGTAGATTTCACCCCCATATCGCTTTAGGGGTGTGCTATTCCCAGGGAGTGCGCTGCTAAAGCAATCTAGCTGGTGATCACGTGTAGACACACCTGATTTCAACATCACTATAGCCTACTGTACGGCAACATAGAGCATTGTTACGTTGCCATATGGCAATGTGTAGATGCTCCCAGTGTTTAGCAGTACATATGTCCCTCTAGGCTGTTACTTTGGGAATATCTATGGGCACAACACAGGAGCAATAACTAGTATCTAGGCAACTAAAGCTCATGTTTATAAAAACATTTGCAATGTAGGGATTGGCTGACTCAAGGGATTATAATAAAGTTTGAAACCTCATGCCTCTAGGGTACCGGCCAATCCCCACTCTAGGTGAGGGAGGGTGGAACAGTATTGACATTTGAAGGCTCTTCGATTAAATAATTTGGTGGGTTTGAGTCCAGTGACAACACAAAGATTACAAACCCCACTAAATGTCCCTCTTACCAGCACTCTTATTGGAGAAGCAAAAGGAGTGAACAGGTCAAAAATAAGCTCCCTACACACTCCTAGAGAATACTCCTCATAGCCAGCAATGGGGAACATCACTGAGGAAGCTGGGGCTGCTTCTGCTTTGTTTGTAACTCATTAAAAGAAAGGAGCTTCCAATACTTCTAATCTGGTAACTTTAAACAACACTAAATTTAATTCTAAAAAGTAAAAAAACAAAAAAACCCCAAACCCTGTTTGTTAAAGGCAGACCCAGTCATTACAATCTTTCTGTATTTATTACAGTCTGAGGTCAGTATGGTGTCTCTTTCCCATAGCACTTTATTTGGAAGCTGCTTATCCATTGGAGACTTTTCTTCTAATAAGATCTAGTTTCTTTCTGTGTCTCTATTTTCTGTTCTGCTGAAATAATAAGAGGTGACAGTATAGGGCAGGTCTGACTCTCAATCCCTCATCTCACTTCTCAGTGAGTACATCCCCTCAGGACTGATTTCCTTCTTTACAACGTGAGGTTCTTATAAGCTTTCCTTGAAACTGTAACCTGGGAGGAAGCCTGATCTTGTGGACTCTGGGCTGGACTGGGACTCAAGAGACTTAAGCCCTCTTCTTAAGTGTGCCACTGACCTTGGGCAAGTCATTTTATTTTTCTATGCCTCACTTTTCCCCATCTGTATAATAGGGATATGGATGTTGGCTTCTTTGATAAAACACTTTGAGATTTAGAGATGAAGTGTGCTAGAAAAGCTAGGCATTATTTTAACCCTAGATAGGGCTGCCTACCCATCCCAACTCACAGGAAGGCCATAGAGAAAGTATGATGCAATGGTTAGAGCACAAGCCTTGGACTTGGGAAACCTGGCTAGTATTTCCTACAGACATCCTGTGTGACCTTGGGCCCAAAGATTCAGAGATAATTAAGCACATAGCTCTCACTGATGTCAGAAGCCCCTCTGGAACGAGCTGGAGGAGTTTCTGAAGTGCCAAGTGCCTTTGTCCCCCAGCTGCTAAACACAGGACAAAGTTGAATCCTGTGCTTTGGTCCCTTGTTTAACTATGTTGGCTGGCCTGCCTGCAGCAGCATTGGTGGGCCAGCCAAAATTTATACAAAGTCACCTTCAGTGCTCTACTCTGTCTGTCTACTCTGTTGGCTTGTTCCCATCCCAGGTATTGGTCAATCAAAATCACTGCCTGATAGAAATAAAAAGCAAGGCTCAAATTACTGCCTGGCTGCTCAAGCTGTAGACTCCTGGGGTGAAAGACCTGGTGGTTGAGTAGCAGTAGTGCAAATCATTCACAATCCTTACTATGCCTAGAAGCAGTACAGGAAAGGGCATGGCCACAGCACTTATTAAGCATAGCTTAGCTTTTATAACCCCTAGGTCCCTCAATGGGCTAACTGCTTTGTTTTTTCTCCCTTACTCACTTTGCCTCTTCTTTTTCCTCCCCACTTCCCTACCATTTGTTTTCTAATCACTGCTTTCTTTTTAGCAGCTTTGCTTCTTGTAGTCCCTTTACAGCATCTGATGAAGCAAGCCCTCTGCTTCTGAAAGTTTATGCTATACATGTCTGATTTAATTAATCTATGAAGTGTAAATCTACCTTGATTTATCCCAGAAATATCTGCAGCAAAGCTCTTATGGACCCCGATCTGTTAGACCCTTGTTGCACAGGACACTTAGGGAAAATCCAGACAAATGTGGACATTAAGTATGCATACTTCACATGCAGGCATACCCTACACTGCTACTTTGCTGGATGGGGGGTTTTTTGATCCGAGAAGATCCAGGGTCAAAACACCCATGCCAAAAAAACCAGGGTGGCGCATGTGATGGCAGCATGCACTGCCCAAAACTGAAGCCTGGCTGGCCAGAGCCACGCTTTGGCTGCTGGCCAGGCTTCTTGCTGCAGAAGCACCATGGCTCCAGCTCCTGGAGGCTCCCAGGACTGCAGGTAAGGCTGCTGGAGGCTGCCAGGAGCCCAGGTAAAGGCACAGTTGCTGGCCCCAGCCTCCCCTACCTCACCCCAAGTAACCTGCTGCATGCCAGAGCGTGCATGTGGCATGGGTTTCCCCTGGAGACAAGTAGCAGCAGCACAAAGTGTGCCACTGTTACTTGTCCCAAGGAAATGCATGTTCCTGCTCATCTGGATGTACCCTTAGACTCCAGTGTGGTGCTGGACCTGGGACTGGCAACCAGCAAACTGTGCTGTTATTACCTCTGTGGAGTGGTCAGATGAGAACTGAACACATATTACCTAATATGATTTGAATATACACCTCCACCCAAAAGTCCTAACTTTCCTATAATACAATTGCAGTTAGCAATATACATTTGCACTTTACACACATTTTACTACTTGAACAGCAGAAGCTTACATTTTAAGTGCAGTTAACACATCCTAGGTGTAGTGTGTGACAAGGCCCTTAATCAAAGCTGCACCCTTCTTGCACTGGCTCTAGCAACAAGTGGTGCAGATACCATTGCCTACCCTCACCCCAATCTTGGGTTTAGCTGAGCCCTCTTTGTAGCAAAGACTTGCTAATCCAGGGTTGATGGATCTGACAAAATCCTGTACGCTTAGCATTTTTTTCAATCTTGTTTTAAGAATATAAAATAGTCTGAAAATAGCTTGTAGATATATACTGAAATAGTTTGAAAGCTAGTGTCTAAAAGGGGCAACTGCTCCCATAACTATGGTCTTACCTTCAATCCTGAAACCTCTGTCAGGTGGTGGCAGGTACTTCATAGCAGGGCAATGTCTGGAATCTGAAAAGGGAAAGAGAAGTGCTTTTTATGACTAAGCATGGTGTGATGGCAGCAACTACTTGTTGAGGCTGGGAATGTAACTATATCTACCATGACGATAATAGTGGGCTCTAAGCAGCTGCAAACCACTCAAGGGGAGAATTGCTCTTTAGAACAAAGACCCCCTGAATGATAAAACAAGAGGAGGAAAGAATTCAGAGTGGTTTTACAAAGAGATCCTGCAGGTTCCTAGAGTCATGGTTAATAGTAGTGTCTGTGCTTCATGTTTACTGTTGACAATGGCTTATATGAGTAAGGCTGGCTTTGCAGTTAACTCTTCCCTATAGAAGCTGATTTCTTACACTACACTTTAGATTTCAAGATTACTTTAATGCAGATTAATGCTGTATTAACTCACATGGCTCTTATACTACATTTTGGGAGGCTGAACCCCACCCCTTTTTCAAGAGCCTATTTTTCCTCCACCTTCATTCTGCATATACAACACCTGCACCCGATCATCCAAAGATCTTCCTTTTATAAGAACAGCATGTGTCTATTTCTTTTAACACCATCACAAGTCCCATCTTATTTTCTATAATGCTGGTTCATTGTTCTATTCTATATAAGCATCTGGCATCTGATGGAAGTACATAAGCCTTTGGTGGTGGCAATGCAAATGAATTTTCTTCCCAGTGAGAGGAAAGGCAGCTAAAGGGCTATTATTTATATAAGGAATAAATGAGCTTATGGGACTCCAACACTTCCTCACTTTTGATAAAGTTATTGTATGCTTGACTTACCTTCAGCTCTTTAAGATAAGCATGTAAGCATAATGTAAGAAACGTGCACAGCTGTGGGATCCAGAAGATGGTATACAATGCAAATGCACATATTGTTTAACCTTGGGGGCTGAGAATCAGGGTTTCCTTAGATCTCATGTGATGTGCTTCTGCATTTTGTATTAGAGGCAAACAGCAAGAACCGCATCCTGTACTACTCCAAGGTAGCCGAATATTCCCACTGCTTGCAAAGTGATTTGACTTAAGGAGGTCTACCTCCACAGTACTTTCCACAGAAGAAAACTGGTAGGTTCACTACGTGGAAATAGCAGTATGTATCATTCATATTTGGGAAGCCTTTGTCAGCAGTCTATCCATGTTTCACAAACTGTTCTTCCTTCTTTAGTGTGAAAAGAAAATCTGACAAAAATTCCATTGCATCATCTGTTTTAGTTCCTAAGGACCTAAGGTGTCTATCTGCACAGGAACACCAGGTGCTGGAGTGTATGTCTGTACTTTTATATGTTGTCAAACATTATACGGGAGCTGAGTTCTGAAATCAGTGGCTATGATGTGCTCTGTCACATTTTAAAGAGTATGGGAATTGTTTGAACTAGAGTATGGCCATCCCACAAGTCGCCCGTGGGCTCCAAGGGGTTAATGTGCAGTTCTGACCCCCACACCACAACATCTCTGCAGCTGCAATAGCAGCCATAGCTCCAGGCTCCCCACTCCTTCCTCCAGCTGTCAATTTCTGCCTTTGTCTAGCAGTCCAGGGAGATGAGGGTGAGTCTGTGGCTGCATCCAGGAGGGGAATGGGGGCCACATGCTGGATAGTGGAGGGGATAGCGCCCATATCGTGCAGCATTTAAAGGTATGTGCCCATGTGGGCATAGATGGAGTGTAGTGGTGGGAGGATGGAAGTATCTGTGTGGCAGTGTGCAGTGTGTGGCCTCTGGAGCATGTGGCTCCTGGGAGCTTAGAAGTTGGACAGCCTGTGAACTAGAGCATGGAAGTCGCATGCTAATCCTCACTGAGTAACATACAAGTATTAGACCTCAGTCCTGGCATTTAGGTTGTCTGTCTTGGTTTCTTCATATACGAAGTTGCAAAATGTTTGTAATATTATTTACGTGCTCCATGGGGTATTGTAATGGCTACTTAATATTTGCAAATGACTTTGAGATGCTCAGATGAAAAGTGCTATGAGGATGCAAAGTTGTATTAAACTATTAGAGCCAAATCGTGCTTCCAGGTTTACCAATGTGGCTGCCCGTGACTTTACTGGAACTCTACAGAGGCATCCACGTGCAGAGTTTTACCCTGAGTTAATATTTTAATTTGCTTCTTTCCAGGTCTGAGCAGACCCCACAGCAAAGGATTCCTTTATCTGGGTTCATTGGAAAGATTTAAAGAAGGAAAAATAGCACCTACCAGCTATAAAATCTTTCTCATAGAAGAAAAGTATTGCCTGTCTGAAGGCCGTTTCTGGGGTCAAGGCCATCACTCTCTGTAGGTGATGAATGTCGGTACTTAGCTTGTCCCCAGGTGGCATTAGTCTTTTCAGTGTCTCAGCAAGAACCACAAAGGCATTGAGTCTCCGTAATGCACATACAAGGGCTGGGCTGGATGTCAGCTTATCAATGCTTCTTTGCCAGGATGTATCTCCCACCTCAAAAGGGGTTACTTCTTTGGCCTGACTTCGAGTGAGACAGGGCAACCACTTGAGGCCCAGAAGCTCAAATCCTGGTTCCAGCCCATCTGCAAGTCAAGAGAAGTGTATTTATTACTAATTGGTAGCTAAGCTTGTGTTCCTCTGCTGGGGACCTTATGTCTTAGGGCCTTGTTTTACATTACACTTAGGACATATTAACTGCACTTAAAAACATCAGGGTGCCTGTAGACATGCCAGGAGGCTGCTCTGACACACTAATAACAGTGATAATTACTGTGCTCCAGCGAACTGCCTAGTCTTGTGTATTAGCATCCCCATGCTTCAAAATGGCAGCAGGGGTGATTTAACTAAAGCCTGGCAAACGAGCTTTAGTACAATGCCCCCACCACCGTTGTGAAATGTGGGGATGCTGATACACAAGATGCTGCCAGTGCTTTAATCAGAGTAGCTCTCAGAGCTGTTGTAACTAAAGTGCACCCCACCCCTGCACTTGTAAAGCTGCCCTCAGCATCCAATCATTCAAGCAGTAAAACACATGCTAAGTCCATTGTAGCATACCAAAGTTAGAACTTTTCCAGCAAGGAGTATCTCCAAATCTTATTACCTAATACATGTTGAACTAATACCAGGCTGCTCCCTGGAGGTCATATGGAGAGTCCATTGCTGTGCAGGGGGTGAGACTGGCAAATAGTTATTTATTGCTCCCAACCCCACCACTGCACCAGGGTTTTGAACCCACTTGGTGTGTTTCCAGGGCTTGGACAGACAAATAGCTGTTTGTCACTCCCAGCCTCTGAACCGCATTGGAGTTTTGAACCTGTTTGGTGTGTTGCTGGGACTGGGACTGACAAACAGATGTTTGTCTATCTGAGCCTCCACAACATGCTGCAGTAAACTTGAGTGTTCAAGGGCTCTGGCACTTAGGACATGTTTTATTTAGACTGTACTAAGCATGACCATGTGAGTGCTTACAATACTTTCTAACGCCCTGTAATTAGTTACTTTCTAACTTGCTTACTACGATGTAAATAAAATGTGTCCTAAGTGATAAGGCTCTCACATTCACAGAAGTCCTGTGAACTTCTTTTAGTAGACCAGCAACTTCCAAATTTGTTTTGACTGCACATCTTCTCCTGTCCAACACTGAGTTTGATACAGGTTTTGGAAACCTACTGGGCAAAATCTTTGTATGTTCAAAAGATAAAACTGCTAGCAAGTTCCTTTACTATTAAAGAATGGACTACCTGGGAACTAAAGTACCCCGTGCCACATCAACAGGGAGTCAAAGAGAATAAGTGCCACAATCTGATTAGAGAAAGGTGGTAATGTAGAGAAATTGAAAGGGATATGTTGGGAATACAATGATAGCTAAATGCCTGAATACAGCACAGTATATAATTATAGATACTTTAACATCTCTGATAATGCTCCATTTAAGGGCTATAAATTATAGTAATAAAGTACAATATAACACTGACTTAGAATGACTTAGCCCTTATTATGTTTGCAAACTACTCTTGTTTCCAGTGTAGCAAACTATTTGGGGGTTCAATACATAATTACATATTGCTGAAAGTTACTGTGGGTATTCAGATACCTTTGCTCACTTTGAGTAGTATCTTATTCTAGAAAGATTGCTTCAGCAGTACTCTCAAAGTAGGATCATATTTAGTGTGAGCCAGGGTGACAGACCTATGAGATGTCGGGCTGTCCAACTAGTGGCCCACAGGTAGCTTTAGAGGGGTTCAATTGTGGCCTGTGGGGCTTGTTGGTGCAGCTCCAGAACCCAAAGGTTGAATGCTGCCACCACGTGCCTCCACACTCCCATGCCCCCTGTCAAACTCGGGATCTTCAGTTGCTGTTGGTGACTTAAATCAGAAGCAGGGGAAAAGTGGGGATGAACAGTAGCAGTGTTCACCTGGGTTCTAGAGCCATGACAATTTAAAGGCAGCAATAGTCACGTCAATAAGCTGCTGCCCTGCCACCAGAGGTGGGTTGTTCAGCCCTGCAGTCCAGATCTGGCCCAGAGAGCCAAATGAGTTCTGACAGCCCTCATCTATATTAATCTATGCAATGTTCTCCAGTCTACAACATTTTTAGTGTTCTTAGTGCCATGTAATAATAAATTACAAACATAGTTCTTAGATCTTATATGGCTTTTATGTGTACATCTGCAAACATATAACAAAGTCAGTATTATTAATCTCATTGTGCAGGGAGGGAAACTGAGGCATAAAATGCATGACTTTGTCAGTAGTCACACAGGAAGTCATTGTTGGAGTATGGAGTAGAACTCATGTCTTCAGACTCCCCTAACCCATGCCATAATTGCCAAACCATGCCAGCTCCCAAATGTTAGATAAGGGCAAAACTGTCTGGATTACAGCAGAGCCAGATGGAGACTTAGCACATCCTTGAAGTGATTCAAAACCTACTGACACAATCTGGGCCAGAATACTCTTTGAAATGTTACCTGGGATTGGACCATCACTAACTAACACTCACAGACTATTTGAGCTAAATCCTATTTCATGCAAGGTACTTAAATGACACATTCAAGGTCACTTTAACTGCCACTTGTTGGCACTTACCAGTTAATGAATCTCAGAATGATCCTACTGGAAGCTATGAGGCCATTCAAAATTTTAGCTCAAAATCCTAATTGTTAGGGCACTTGCATAGGAAGCTGGAGACCAAGGATGCCTGTAGACATGCTGGGAGGCTGCTCTGACATGCTGTAATTACAGCATGTCAGAGCAGACTTGATTAACTGAGTCTGCTAGAACGTGGCAATTACTGCACTCCAGTCAGCCTCCGCCTCTCATGTATCAGTGTCCCTGTGCTTCAAAATGGCGATGGGTGTTTTAACTAAAACTTGGTGAATGAGCTTCAGTTCAAGTGCCCTCACTGCCATTTTGAAGCACAGGCATGATGATACATGAGACACTGTGGTGCTTTGATTAGAGCAGCACTCACAGCAGCTCTAATTATGTGTTTCCCTCACTTTATGCTGTACATCCATTCCTGGAAAATGGTGCATAATTCAAATTCACATAAAGGGAACCCACTTTACAATGTAACAAATAGGGATATGGTCCAAGACCTTGGCTGTACTGACCCCCAGACCATTGCTACCACTTTTAGAAGACAATTTTGGTACTCGCCAGCAGCAGACAGTACACACAAGCACAGGGCACTACCACAATGGGGATGGTAACTACAGAAACACATGTTGCAGACAACGAACAAGGAGCACAGGAGACTATATTTTGGTGCACGTAACTCCCACAATAAACTGCACAAAGCAGCTGACTGCAGGCTTCTACCATACCAATCACATAAGAGTGAATTTACCTTGCATATAATGAATTTTTGGTATAAAAAGGGTTATCGCATAGGAACAAATTCACACATACAGAACCAGCATAAACCGAAGGAAACCTGTAAAGCACCCTCCCACCCCCGTCCTTCCACTGAAGCACATGTAAAAATGGCCTGAGGTTCTAGGTTTGTTGGTTGTAGCCATATTGGTCTAAGGACATAGGCAGACAGGGTTCTTTGGGTAGATGTGATATCTTTTATTAGACCAACTAGATAGTTGGAAAAATTGTTCTTTGCAAGCTTTCAGGCACAAACACCCTTCTTCAGGCATAGAGGGATTCTGGTGGTGTTTTCAGACTCTCCCTATGCTTGAAGAAAGGTGTTAGTGCATGACAGCTTGCAAAGAACAATTTTTCCAACTATCTAGTTGGTCTAATAAAAGATATCACATCTACTCAAAGAACCTTGTTCCCCAAGGTTTTAGGCCAGGAGGAAGAGAGTAAACCACAGGGTTTGTGCCCTCACAGGGGTGAGAGCAAACCACAATGGGCAGAAACTTTCTCATTATTCTCTATCCAACTAATATTAAAGGAAGGTTTAGGGGGACGGCCCTAGGATGTGGGGCCTCCCACTCCCCTGGCAAGTGCCCTAACTGCTAGGCTATTGGGCTAAAACACAGGAGTGTCCTCCTAATCCTTTTCCTTCACATCATGAGCTTTTCCCTGGCTACAGTTTTGATACCTAAGTGGCCTTGTGTGGGTACGTAGCCACATACCTGGCCAGACATATCACAGCCCTACTGAGTATGCTTAGCAGGTACATGCAGACTTGTATGCCCAGACCTGAGACACAACCATATGTAAATACCCAAAACTGCAGTTATACAATTGTGTTATGTACTATTTAGGTGCATAACATGAAAAAGGATTTAGCCCTTCATCTCTTGAGGCAGGGAAAACAAATGTAACTAAGTCCTGAAAGAGCCTATGGAGCTATGGGTAGCTAGGCAAGTGGTTCTCAGCCTTTTGGATTTGAGGCTCTCCTCACTGGATTCAAGGCACCTCTCCAAAACTTTTGTCAATTGAGTGGCACCCAACTTCAAGAACAAATTTTTAGATTGCAGTAGTTGCCTCCTTGCAGAGGAACTGGGCAGTGGGGGTGAGAGAACAGCCAGTCAGGGACAATCCTGACCCTGTGCTCATCTCCTCACCTCCTTAATTCCTAACATCTCAGGGCAGCCTTCAAAGGATCTGGTGGCACCCCAGGCTTCCCTGGCACCTTGACTGATAATCATTAAGCTAGGCAGAACCTAGGCAACCTCTACAGCCCATCCCTAAGAAATGAAATCACCTGGTTTTTCACGTGACTTCTTGTTGCAAGGGCAAAGGATTTGGCGAAGAAGGTCTCCAGCATTCTTTATGGCTTCATTTCCACTCAGTGTCAGGATGACAACTTGTTCCATCTCAGGATCAGAGGCATAGGTTTGATTGCATAAAACATTCAGAGGCATGCTACATGGGTCTGGCACTGCACTGAGATTGCCTCCTGCCCAGGGAGAGAAGCAAAATAAATCTAGTTATCCAAGGAAAATTAATCTCCACTTTCTTTTAATGGGAGAGACTGAGTCATCTTTAATAGGGCAACAGAACACAGATTCTGAGAAACATCCTTACAAATACAAAAGTAGCCAAGTGACTAGTGACTGTCTCATCTTGGTCCCTACCAAATTCCTGCTTGAAAAATGTAAGCTAAGCCACTGGCATAATCCTAGATTATGATATCTTTACTCACCCTTGGGTAACAGGGAGAGTGATTAAAATCAAAGTGATTTAAATTACTGTTTAACTGTGATTTAAACCACCAAGGAAGAAATCTTGATTTCAATATCTCATTTAGATTTTGTTTTAATTTTGGTTTTTAGATACTTAGATTTATAACACAATACAGCTTTTACACTAAATTAACATGGAAGATATGTTATGTGCAGATTTAAACAAATATATATAATTTAACATACATTTGTTCACTTCCTTAATGTTTATACCCTATGAAATTAGAAAATGGTGAATACCTTTATTTACTAGATGTTTTGGTTTTTTACTTGTAATTTGTGTCAATCTGCTTTTGGAAAGAAATTGAAATTTGATTGAAAGCACAGATTGTAATCATAGCATGTTTTGCATTTTAAACTAACTTATAATACAAAGGAAATATTAGCTGTACCTAATTAAGTGAATTGATTATTTCTGGTTACCATGTCCACCAAGATTTTAGAGCTAGTAGATATCAGCATCTCACTCTAGTAATTATTTAGAGATTTGGAAAAAGGAAACACATTTTCTCACTTTTTTTTATGGACTAATCAATTTCTCAACTCTGAATGAGCCAATTACTAAACTGATTCAAACTAAATAAACTGAAAAAAGACACTATTTTGTCTCTGCACCAGTAGAAGGGGCAGTAGCTGCCCAACAGGGGTGTGCGAAGCAGGCCCTATTCAATTCAGATTTGGATTTGGCCTGAATCAGGGACAGTGATTTGATTTTTTGATTTGAATCACTATCCCTGATTTGATTTGGCCAAATCTGAATCTGAAGATTCAATGCTGATTTGGAGAATCAGCGATTCAGACATAGACACAACTTTAAAAGTTTTTTCTACATACCTTGAGGTAGCAGGCACAGCCTGTGATCGCTGCGATGCTGGGGTGCATGGAGCATCCCCCAGGAGTGGGGGGGGGCCCTCCACGTGCTTGGTGGCGAATCTGGAAGTGGACCAGAAGTAGTTCCAGTCCACTTCTGGGTCTGCTGTGAAGCGCACTGGGGGTCCCCCCTGCACCTTCCTGGCTCAGCAATTGGCTGCAGGGGGACCCCAGGTGCCCTCCCCCAGACCCAGGAGGCACCAGTCACCGAGCCATGGGTGTGCGGGGCGATGCCCCAGCACTTTTTCCTGCAGACAAGGAAATAAACTGGAAGTGCTTCTGGTCCACTTCCAGGTCTGCTGTCGAGCACGTTCCCCAGCATACCCAGAACAGAACCAGAAGTGCTTCTGGTCCACTTTGGGGTCTGCTGCTGAGCATGCTGGGGGGCCCCCCCATGATTCTGTGGGACACTCCATGCACGCTAGCATCGCAGCACTCATGAGCCCCTGCTACCGAGCAGTATGTCAAAAAAACATTCAAAGCTGTCTCTATGTCCGAATCTCTGAATCTTTCCGAATCTCTCTGAATCGATTCGGAAGGTTTCAATTTGATTCAGAGAGATTAAAGAGGCCTCTGATTCGATTCAGATTTGGAGACTCAGCCACCAAATTGGGCTGAATCTCCACTGAATTGAATCAGGGACCGAAGCTTTGCACAGCCCTACTACCCAAAGCTTGTTTATCATGTCAACTAATTTAACTTCTAGGTGCTTAACCAGTGACATATTTCACTTTAGGGATTCGTATATTTTTAAAATTTTGACAGTGTGTACTGATTGAATATTTGCATATAATATTAATTATTTGAATATATTATAATATATTTAGGGCTCACTATGTTGGGGTAGCCAACGTTTTTGGTCGAAGCGCTGAAGAAACCACAATGTCTACCTTGTAAGGTGCCGGAGTTCCGGCATCACAGAAAAACAAAACCAGGGTGGGAGGGGATTGGAGTGTGGGGGGGGGGGCAGGATGCACTGCATATTAATATAGTTAATAATCATAAATGTTGGGAGGGGTTTACAGGGTTTTTTAAAATTCTAAACCTGGTCACAATAAATAAAACTTCATATACTACCTTTGTTTTTGTGTTTTCTTTTTTTGTTAAGCATGTTTTGATGAGAGAGGAAAAAGAGAAAAAAGGAGAGAAGAGATTGAAAGAGAGGTAAAGAGAGAAAAGGAAAGTAAAGAGATGAGAAAGAAGAGAAGAAAAAATAGAAGACAGAAAAAAGGGGAGAAAAAGAGAATAGAAAAAGCAGAGAGAAAAGGAGAAGAGAGAATGAAGAGAAGAAAGAGAGAAAGAGGGAGAGAAAGAAAAAAGAGAAAGAAAATGAGAAAAAGAAAAAAGAGAAAAAGAGGGGAGAGAAAAAGAGGGAGAGAGAATAGAAAAAGTGAGAAAGGAAGGAAAAAGAAAAAAGAAAAAAGGAGAGAGAAAAAAGAAAAAAGGAGAGAAGGGGGAAAGGAGAGAAGAGAGAAAAAGAGAAAGAAAAAAGAAAAAGAGGGAAAGAAAAGGGGAAGGGAAAAAGAGAAGAGAAAAACAGAGACAAAAAGGGGAGAGAGAAAAGAGAAGAGAGAAAAGAGAGAAGAGAAAGAGAGAAAGAAAAAAGGAGAGAAAAAAGAAAAAGAGAGAACAGAAGAAAAAGAAAAGAAAAACAAAGAGAGAAAAAGAGGAGAGAGAAAAAAAAAGAGGAGAGAGAAAAAAAGGAAAAAGAGAAAGACAGCGTGTCCCTTGCTGCCCATGTCTCCCACTGCTACTGGCTGTGGCCCGAGCTTGCTGGTCCAGGGCAGTGTCTGGCAGAGGGAGGCAGTGACACCCCAGCAGCAGCCTCAGGCCTTGCCAATGGTCCTGGAGCAGGGGGAGCCTGGACCCAGGGCTAGGAAGGAGGGCTCAGCCAGGGCTCAGGGCAGGGTCCAGGTAGTGAGGGGAGAAGCAGGCATGGGGGGAATGTGTCATGGGCAGGCTAACCCAGCTGAGCCCTTGGCAAGACAGCAGCTGAAGGAGAGCAGGGGCTGGGGGGAACCCCAGGGCTCTGCAGACTCAGGCTGTGGCAGGCAGGTGGGGGCATCCAGTGGCACCTGAGGTGGGGCCCAGCCTGGCCCATACAGCTCTGCAGGGATGGGCTGCAGCCATCCTGCCTGCAAGGGGATGCCAGCTGGCTGGGTCAGGACACCAGGCTCAGGGGGCTTTTGCCTCTGGACTCAGCCTCCCTGCCCACCAGGTACAGCATGACTGGGGCAGAGCTGCCTCTGGTGCAAAGGTCTGGCCATGGGGCCTGGCACGGGCAGTGCTCAGGGCCGAGCCAGCTGGGAGCCTCCAGTACAGTGGCCCTCCATGATGCCTGCCCAGGCCACAGCCCTGCCCACCCACAGCTCCCCTCCAGGGGCTGGAGGGTGCAGCCTGGGGACAGGGAGCGGAATTAGCAGAACGCAGACTGCATTGCTGCCTTTGTTCTCCTGCCCCTGCTCCCAGTGCCTGCTGTGGCGCTGGGACCTTTGGCTGCTCCAGAAAGCCCAGAGCAGCAACTTAAGAAAAAATGGGTTTTTTTAAACAATTTCCTCACACACCTACTGGCATGCCAGCGAAAATGTCTCTCCATGCCACCATTTGGCATGCATGCCATGGGGTTGCCTATCCCTGCTATAAGTTCATAATTTCATATTTCATTTTAAATGAGTTTATTTTTCAAAATGAATATGCATTTAATTTTTAAAAATACTCATTTTTTATTTTTTAAAAAGCTTTGATTTTGTGAGCAACACTTTACCCCATGACTAGAGTCATCATGCAGCACAAGTAGAGGACACCAGTGTCCAGGGCTAAACAAGTTACAATTGTCAATGAACCACAGCCTGGGGTTTTTACTCAGGAAAATTCCCTCAAGATCTGACCTTTGGATCTGACTCCATATAAAAGGCAAAACCTTAAATCTTCTATTGCTCCAGCATACCCAGTGCCTGCAATAAGCTGTCAGTGTAGGGAGCCGCGTGAATACACAATGCAGGCAGTCTAGCATCAGGAGGCAGGTTGCTTCTCACCTCTCCAAGGAGACCTTTTTCTGCCAGTTCATTCATGAGTCCTAGGAACAGAACAAAAGTACACACAAGAAATATAATGCAAAGCTGTTTACAATGCACTCTGATATGAGAATAGTTTAATCCTACCATGTATTTTTGGGCCATATTTCCAGACTCTTGTTACAGCAACAGTAATATGGGTCATGGTGAGTTCACCCAAGAGATACAAAATGCATTGTCATAATCAATTCCACCAGGATGGCAAGCCACAACTGTTTATATCAGAATTAAGTAGCTGCTGAAAGTCAGACTTAATCATTACTTTTCTTAGAAAGATCTTTGCTTTGAGGTCAACAGTCTAACTGTCTCAACCAACATGTAACTCATGTTATAAAAGAAATATCTTCCGGACTAAGAGACTGAGTCTCTGTGCTCTGTTTCAGCCCTGTTTGCGTTTGGGGTGGCAGTTTATTTCTTTCTGGTCATCTGTTTTTCAACTGTCTACATATCTTTTACATTTACATGCAACTCGAAATTCTATTCCTGGGTGTGTAGCCTTGCACATGTACAGTGGGCCTGAGCAATAGGATACACACTGGCCTTGTACATGCCTAGCTATGTAGCTGGCCAAAATGCATGACTAGTATATGTGAGGGGGACCATTTTGTTTTCCGTCTGCAACAGAGTAGCTGAGGTACTAGCCTAGGAAGTCAAAAAACTAGGATGTAGCCACTGCCACCAACCCAAAGAAGGTTTCAATTTGGGTTTCTCACTTCCCAGAACACTACTGTAACCACAGCACCACTAGTCAGTTAGCAGTTTCTACACTGGAGAGCTCAGAAAAATCTTATTCAGCCATAGACTATACAGGCAGGCAGTGCTGGCAGGAGCAGCTGGGGGAGTAGCTGAAGGAGCCCCAGCTTGAGCCAGCAGCCCCAGGAGAAGCTGTAGCTCGTCCGGCTGCTCCCCGCTGGGGCAAGGCAGGCAGAGCTGGCAGCCCTGGGAGAAGCTGCAGGGGCTGAGGGGAATGATCAGGAGCTGGGGGGATGACTGGGGGCTGAGGGAATGAACAGGGGCTTCCCCCCCGCTCCCAGTTCAATCCCCCAGTTCCCTGATCATTCCCCCCCACTCTCATGGCTTCTCATCTAGCTGCTCCCCCAGCTGCTCCCGCCAGCACTGCCTAGTGCCTGCCCATACAGTCTATGGCCGAATCTCTGAATCTCTCCGAATCTCTATGAGTCGATTCAGAGGCCTCCGATTCAATTCAGAGAGATTAATGGGTCTCCCGATTCGAAGACTCAGCTGCCAAATTGGGTTGAATCTCCTCTGAATCAAATTGGCTATGGAAGCTTTGCACAGCTCTAATAGATACAGTAAAATAAGCAGATGGAAGAAGAAGATATAGTAAACACATAGATATTGTAAAATAAGCAGATAGAAGAAGATATAGTAAAGATATAGAAGATAGAATTTTATTAGTAGATGTTAAGAGTTATGAGTCCAAAAAGATGACAAAATCAGTAGGGAATTACAGATCACCCGAGCGAGGGACTAACATAAGAGGGATGGGGGTGAGGAGGGGAACTTAACTAGGCTACAGAAAATATAATGTTATCCAACACACACACACACACGCGCGCACACACACACACACATTTTCTAGCAGAGCAAACATTATGAAGCATGCTGGAAAGACAGGTGCCAGGTCTCCTGGCAGGGGAGTGAGAGGGGGCAAAAGGAGAGCTGCAAGTTCCCACCCACACCAAACTTAGATGCACCCTCTTCCCTAGTAGGCATGAGGTTTCTATAGCTAGTGGCAGCATGGAGGTGGGAGCAGTGTCTGCACTTGCCCCACCTCCACTAACACCAGCAGTAATAATAACCCCCAGCACCACCAGCATGACAAGCACCAGCATGACAGTCTTCTCCACCCCAATTTCAGTTCCCAGCATGAGCCTCCCAGTGCCAGAGGAGGAGCTGCATCTGTAACCAGGGGAGCTGAGTGCCAAAGCCAGGGAAATTCTGGGGAAGGAGGGGGAATCAGAGTTTCTGCTCCACACCCCTCAAAGTTCCCCTAGAGCCAGGTCTCCTTCTCTGGAAGGCACTGCAGAGGAGGTTGTGGGGGCAGGTGGCTCAGTTTCCCCTGTTGTTGTGCCTCTGTCTTCTGAGGAGGAGGATAAAGCAGGATCCCCACCTACAACCCAGAAGCGAGGGAGTAGTGTAGTGTGGGATCATTCTGAGGTGGCAGATGATCCCAAGTATGCTACCTCCCTGCAGTACTGATGCAGGACCAGCCAGGGAAGGACGAGAAACACTTCAGCACCATGGGGATGCTGATGCATATCAGGAGGCACCACCCCCTTGCCCTTGCTCCTCTTCATCCTGGCACCAGTGGGAGCATGTCCAAAGAGAAGTCTCCTTCTCGTTCCAAAGCCCTTGTCCCCCAGAAGCAGAGGCAGGCCACCCTGGAGTGGTGGAGGAAAGGCAGAGGGAAAGGAGGGTGCGTTCCCAAGGCAAGCGAGGTCACCCAGAGCACTGGGGAGATGCTTGCTCTGGATGGCCAGCCCTTCTCCTTAGTTGAGTAGCCAGGGTTCAAGTAGCTCATGGCAATCATGGCCCCATCATATCGCATGCCCTCACGCACCACCTTCAGCATGACAGTGGTGCCCTCCCCGTATGAGGCATGCAGGGAGTACTTGAGGGAGAAGCTGCAAAAGGCAGGTCCACAGGTGGCCTTACACTTCACCTTGGACATCTGGAACAGTTGGGGTGGCTCATTGGGCAGGGCGAGCTCACCCATGGGTTCATGGTCACTGACAATGGGGCCAATATGGTCAAGGTGGTTCATGATGCCAACTTTGTTGGCATTTGCTGTTTGGCACACAAGTTCCACCAGGGTTCCCAGTGATGACCATCACTACTACGACCAGCCAGCTCATTTCAAAATGCAGGAAGACACACACACAAAGTCACACAAGTATCATGAGTTTTGCTTTGAACAGTTTGAGGTACAGTTTCACAGAAACCCCTGCACCTATCTCCTTGAAACCTAGCAGGCTTCATGGCCTCAGAAGGGGCTACCATCCTTGCGATTTTCATCCAAATCACACATGAAATGACAAAGTTATAGGCATTTTAGTGATTCCCCATTATAGTCTATGGCCGAATCTCCAAAACCACATAAAAACTCCAAAACAGATTCAGCCAAATTGAAACAGAACAGTGGATGCTGCAGTTCAAGCGGGATGCAGACAACCTGGAGAGGATCCAAAGAAAAGCCTGATTAGAGGCCTGAACAGAAGGCCCTACGAGGAAAGGCTAAGGGACCTTAACCTCTTCAGCCTCTCCAAGCGAAAGCTGAGAGGGGACCTTGTGGCGGCGTGCAAATTCATAAGGGGAGAGCAACATGAAGTAGGCGACGATCTGTTCACCAGGGCAGCCTCTGGAACGACAAGGAACAATGGCCATAAGCTACTAGAGAGAAGGTTTAGGCTGGACATTAGGAAAAAGTTCTTCACGGTCAGGGTTTCCAGAATCTGGAATGGGCTTCCAAGGGAGGTGGTGTTCGCCCCATCCTTGGGGGTCTTCAAGAAGAGACTGGACAGACACCTGACTGGGATCACATGACCCCAGGACTGGTGACTCTTTTCTTGCCTGCCAGGGGCATGGGGTCGGACTAGATGGCCCACTAAGGTCCCTTCTGACTCTATGAATCTATGAACAACAAAAGGATTGTGGGGGGTTCTGGGGTATTCCTTAGCAACATTAGGATGTTTCTTGGTGCTTAATGCTTGTCACAACTTATGTGAAAGGCAGGAATTTCTGTGGGTGATATTTTTAAGTGGAGCAATTGTATGGTTGGTACAGAAATAGGCAACCTTTTGGGTATCACAATACCCTTCCTCAGGCCTCAAAACTACCAAAACACAATTTAGTGTTTTTTAATACTGAAATCAAAGCAATTTGACAAGATTAGCAGTTTCTACACTGGAGGGCTCAGCATTAAGCTGTTACCACTGGTCAGTCTTAAAGCACTGAAGGGTGACATAAAAGAGCCATTGGCAAGGTTATTCTGAGGATAAAAAAAACCCTTTGTTACTGTGAGTGGCAACCTTTTACCTTTCCAAAAACTTTCCTTGGGAAAGTTTCTGCATTGGAATTTCAACATAAATATAAACACTGCAAATATTGTCAGTGACCTTCTCAAAGAGAACAGTTTGCTAGAGTTCCCTTAGAAAGAACAAAAAGCACACTTCTATAATGAGTTACTTTCCTAAGGAATTTAGGCAGTAGACAATAGAATGCTGTAATTACTCTGCCACAGTTAATCAGTCCCATCTGAGCATGTTTTCAGAGAGTTTGTGTGATACTCACTGGAAAAAAGGAAATGAATCTGTTGAATTGTCATATCATTCTGAACCTCTAAATAGACTGTCCCAATGCCACGCTTATGATTTATGGTTTTCCATTTTCAAGTATTGTATAGTGCACTATAAAAAAGAAAGGCACTAATATGTGACAGAATCATAATTCTCAAACTGGGGCAGTTACTGATAGGACATTGTATATTATCCAATACTCAAACAATGTATATATGCATAATGGAGCAATCCTGCAGCAAGAACAGTACTTTGAGTGAGGGGTAGGCAGCAAGTCAATGGTGACTAAAGGGCCAATGAAGAATGGGAGATGTTATGGCCCAAACACAGGACTGTACAAGAAGGGGCAGGTTTTATACCCAGACTTGTTCTGTGGTCTGTACAAGTTCATTAGCCTTCCACCACCCCCGTGCCTCAGTTTCTACATGTGTAAAATAGGCATAATAATGTATCCCATCTCATTGGGCTGCTCTGAGGTTTAATTCAATAAAGGTTAAATCCTATTTCATTTTACATGCCTAAATGGCCACTTAACTGCAGTATGCACACTTGCACACAATGGGGGATTCAGTTTTGCCCTGTGCATGTATCACTTGAAGCTGGTCCATTACATCTTGCATGTAATATAAAACTGCCTATGAAATCTTGTATGACAGCACTGGGAGAGCTCCAGCCCCCTGACA